ATGGCTCTGCATGTGAGGACCCAGGAGAGCTCTATCCCTATCTCTGATGTCCAAACTTAGCCCAACATTACTCAGGTTGAGCCTTCACAATGAAACCAAAACAGACCAATCAAAACACAAAAAGTGAATATCCTGCACTAAACGCCAGCAACCGAGACAGTTTTCTTATGCTGTGTTATTCTATCCATTTTCATCCGCTTATCCTGTGCCAGGTCACTGTGGCAGCAGCCTAAGCAGAGAAGCCCAGACCTCCCTCTCCCCGACCACCTCCTCCAGCTTGTCTGAAGGGAACACCAAGGTGTTTCCAGGCCAGCTGAGAGATATAATCTCTCCAGTGTGTCCTGGGTCTGCCCCGGGGCCTCCTCCCAGTGGGACTTTCCCAGAACACCTTACCCGTACAACGATTGTATTAGTAGGGTGGCTGCAGCTCAGGTGTCAGAGCAGGTCACTTACTAAATGGAAGGTTGGTAGTTTAATCCCATTCTGCTCCAGTCTGCATGCCAAATATCCTTGGGCAAGATACTAACCCCATGTTGCTCTCCGATGCATTCATCAGAATACGAATGCGTGTGAGTGTTAAATAGGATTGCATGGCCTCTAGCAATGGGCCAAAAACCCCATATTCCCGAAGCACCTCCCACACTCCGAAGGACAGTATTAAATGCCTTCTCCAAGTCCACAAAACACATGTAGACTAGTTCGGCAAACTCCCATGCACCCTCAAGTATCCAGTGTTCAGTGTTTCACGACCGGGACAAAAACAGCATTGTTCCTCTTTTAACCGAGGTTCGACTAACGGACGGACTCTCCTTTCCAGCATCCTAGCATAGACTTTTCCAGGGAGGGGTGTGATCCCCCTATAGTTGAAACACACCCTCTGGTCCCCCTTCTTAAAGATGGGAATCACCACTGCCCGTGATCTCTCCGCAACACTGCAGAGAAGTGTCAACCAAGACAGCCCTACAACATCCAGAGCCTTCAAGAACTCAGGGCGGACCTCATCCACCCCAGAGCCTCTGCCACCAAGGAGTTATTTAACTGCCTCAGTCACCTCAACCCACAGCATGTCTTTATCCTGTTTTCCTTCTCTCACCCCAACCGGTCACAGCAGATGGCCGCCCCTCCCTGAGCCTGGCTCTGCCGGAGGTTTCTTCCTGTTAAAAGGGAGTTTTTCCTTCCCACTGTCGCCAAAGTGCTTGCTCATAGGGGGGTCATATGATTGTTGGGTTTTTCTCTGTATCTATTATTGTACGATCTACTGTACAGTATAAAGCACCTTGAGGCGACTGTTGTTGTGATTTGGTGCTATATAAATAAAATTGAATTGAATTGAATTGACCCCAGAGATAGGTGAGCTGTCCTCTAGCCGCCCACAGGGGATTAAGGAGGTCCTCGACATATTCCTTCTATCAGGGCCTCAGCGCCTGGCCGCTGCGCAGCACACAATGCACCCAACCCCTACGGCGCCTCCTGCAGGTGGTGGGCCAGCAGGAGGATGGGCCTATGTCCCTTTTCTGGGCTGTGCCTTGCCGGGCCCCATGGACTAAGCCCTGGCCACCAAAAGCTCACCCTCGGGCAGCCTCCCCACTGTCCCTGATCCCTGGGACAGACAAACCCCTCCAAAATGATAAGCTAGTGATTTGCGGAGTGGTGCTGTATGTAATGTGTAATTTTAAATGTAATAAATGTCATTTTTACCTTCCAGTGTAAAGCACCTTGAGGTGGCTGTTGTTGTGATTCAGAGCTATATGAATAAAACTGAATCGATTTTGCAAATCTTCTTTTGACTGATTTATGAAATATTCCAACAAAGTATAATAAAATATTACTGAAATATTTTACTTTACAGGAAAGTTTACTGTTACAGATTTATTGAGACCATCTAGTGTATGTGAGTTCCATTTATACTCCTTGCATGGTAACTGTGAGGTGTTTGTGCCGCAGACTGAACCTGGACCAAGAGACTAAGAATCAGGCCAACAGCTTCTCAGCTGAAGGATGCAGAGAGGACACTTTCCATCAGGACAAACCAGGATCAGAGAACCCGTGACACTCATCTCTCTTTGAAACTATGGCCGCTGCAGATCCCTCAGCTGACTCTGAACTCGAGTATTTATGTTTAGCTCATCTGAACATATGTGGTCTTAGGAATAAGCATCCTGACGTTGAGAAAATATTAACAGATTCTAACATTCATGTGCTGGCGTTAACTGAAACTCATTTAGACAACAGTGTTAAAAACTCTGAACTACATATAGAGAAATTCAGGTTTTACAGGAAGGATAGAAACAGTAATGGAGGTGGTGTCTGTTTCTATATTCACAATCACATGACAGTTATTCAGCGGTACGACTTGGATCACAAAGATCTAGAGATGATCTGGGTTGAGATTTACCTTCCAGATACCAGACCCGTGTTAGTGGGATGTTGTTACAGACCATCAGGCAGCAAAATAGATTATTTAATTAAAATCTGCAGAAAAATAGAAATGGTGTCAAATGAAGACAAAGACATTTTCCTTCTGGGAGACTTTAACTTTGACTGGTCGAAAGAGTCTACAAAAAAGACAAGGATTGATTTTGTCTCCTCTGTGTGTGGACTGACCCAGATCGTAAAAAAGCCTGCCAGGGCGCACGTGACAAATTCACGATCCACATCAAAATATATTGATCACATCTACACAAATATTCCAGCGCTCTGCTCAGAACCAGACGGTCACCAAGTTAAATCAATCAGTAATCATAAGCTCATCACTGCCACTGTACGAAGAAGAGTCCCCAAAAGCAGAAACTCAGAAACAGATCCCCTCAGTGAACCCTTAAAGTCTCCTCCTGTTCTTTCTGAAGTGTCTCCATCAGAGTTTCTTATTAAAAAGAAGATCATGGAAAACAAACACTGTTCTCTTGAGTTTAGGAAAGTTGAGGATAAGGAAGTTGAGAGGTTGATGTCCCACGTTGATGCTTATGTTCTACAAACTGCAGCTCCATCCATCTCTGCTCCCATATGTCACATCCTGAACTCGTGCATCCACCGCGGCAAGTTCCCATCAGAGAATCTTGAGAGCTGCGTATTTCGTCCTGATCCGATCCTGGAGAAAGTACTCCTCCAGCAGATGCAGGGGTACTTTTATAACAATGAACTTTTCACTCATCATCAAACTCTTGGTGACATAACTGATCATTGGCTCACAGAACTGAAAAAAAAAAGAAAAGTTGGAGTTGTATTCATAGATTTCAGTTCGTCCTCTGATGTCATCAGTCCTAATCTGCTGCTTCCCAAACTGAAGTCTTACCATTTCTCAGATTCGGCCATTTCTATAATGAGAAGTTTTCTCTCTGATGGAAACAGCTGCTCATGTCGCTGGACAGACACTCACTGTGAGATGCCACGAGGAAGCTGCATGACTCACTTCCTGTTCTCTGTTTATACAAACGATCTGAAAGTTGCTTTAAAAAGTGCTCATGTTGTTGTGAGTAGCAGTAAGCTGATGATGTATCACTCAGAAAAAAAGCACCAGGATTTACAGGAATTGTTGAGAGATGAATCAGAAATTGTGCGTGGCTGGCTCAGAGAAAACAGCATGGTTTTAAAGACGTTCACATCAACAGTAATCAGAACCACGACGCAAGTGAAGAAAATACAAACACTCCTCAGAGCCACACTCAGTGTAAATGTGCAAGAGTTTAACTGGATCGGAATATTAGGAGTTTTACTGCACGATGCTCCTCATCTGGTTTGGACATCTTAATGAAATCTTTCCGAAAGAAAAGCTTTGGTTTGAAAAGGAAGTGCTGTACAGTTTGCTCCTCCCCCTTTTCAATGTAAATATTTATTCTCTCATTTGAGTCTCTTCAGAAGTGGAGAATTTTGTACTCTACCAGTCTGCACCCTGGAAGTCTGTCTGGTGAGATATTTAATTATAGAGGTGATTTATTAGATTATTAAGAATGAGAAAATATTGAAAGGTTGTTGACTTTAGAAGCCAGTGTGTTTTAATTACTCTCTTCATATTTTAATGGTCATTTTATCACTTAATGTGCTTTTCTGTGATTACATAATTTTTATCACTTTCTTTATTTGTGCGCTTCGAAGAAGCAGTGACCAGCAGTGTGTGTGTATGTGTGTGTGTGTGTGTGTGTGTGTGTGTGTGTGTGTGTGTGTGTGTGTGTGTGTGTGATGTGTGTGTGTGTGTGTGTGTGTGTGCGTGCACAGAGTGAACAAAATAGGAAAATGGACATTTTGGGATGGATGTGATTTTTACTGCAGTAGTCCGTTAGGGTCAGGGGTCACTGCCTCTGTTGAATCATGTTCCTTGTTTTTGTAAAAAAAAATATATGTGCTCATAAAAATAAAAAAAAACAACTCCTCAAAACTTCTTCTTTTTATTGTTGTGGGTCTTCACCTTACAATTTAAACCGTCTAGGCATTATATCAATAAAATTAAATTCTTCTTCTCCCAGCCATTCACTCCAGAGCAGGATGCTCTTCTGCAAGTGCTCAGAGCATCCTGCTCACTGAAAATCTGAACACCAGACTGTGTTGAAGAATGAAGATTTGTACAAACTTTGTTTTTGCCTCATGTGCTGTATTTACATGATGTTAGCATGTTTCAATAAACCACTGCACCTATTTCCCGCTCAACACTTTTGCATAGTACTGTATATCCATTAGTCAGGTTCATGGTCCCTGGGTATAACATGGAAGTACTCAGTAGAGAAGTGAAAACTGGAGATCAGCCTTCTGTTACTACAGTAACCTCACAGCAGCCCTGTGATTGGTCACATGATGTCATTAAAATGCTCCAAAGGCCAACAGCACAGACAGGGTCCAGAGGTCCAGTTCAGCTGAAGCTAGCAGACAGATAGTAGCTACAGCTGCCTGTGTCACCATCCACGTGTCAGTCACAGAGGCCACGCCCCTAATAATGAAAAACAGTCAGAGGTTTTACAGAGAGGTGGAGGAGGCGGTGTTTTTGATTAGAGGGCAGGTTGTAAATAAAGTTAAACCTGTTCATTTATTAGTGACTTTATGTTGTTTTCATGTTTAGAGTGAAATCAAACTTTGGCTGTCACAGCTTTATTTTACAGAAGTAAACAAACCCATTCCTTCTTTCACATCCGAAGCGTGTCAGGTGTTTTTAAATGTATGTGCTTTAAGTGATCGTGGAATCACTGAAGCCAGCGGAGATGATCTAACTAAAACATGGAAAAGAAACCGAAACCAGAGACTGAAAATCCAGAAATATCAGAGTGAGGGTTCTACATGTGACGTGAATCCAGTGTGAACACATGTCACATGTGTCTGAGCTACACCACCTCCACCATTCACAGCAGCTTCGTGAGCCAACACGAAGGTGGAGGAGGGGCTACTATAATTGACTGCGGGAGTAAGAACAACTGAGCACAGCTATTGATGAGGCAGCTACTCCCAACCCCTGACCCCTCCTGACGGTGTCGTTCTGCTGCCGCTCGTGAGCACTGTGTGTAGGAGCATACCACAGCTGGAGCTGTGTGTCAGGCCCAGATGTTTCCGGTTAATGTCTTTAAATCTCAAACAGACGGGGAAAGAAGGAGGCGCAATCATAATTGGACATTTCAGACTCATTCAAAGGACAAATGTCCTGGAGAATCATTGGAGGTGGGGGTCAGGGTGTTGGCTGGAAGGTGGAAGATGATTAAAGTTGACCTTGAGCCTGAGGGAGAGAAAACTAAGATGGATGGATGAGAACTAATGACAGAGGACCAGACAAAAGGAAATCAATAACCAGCAGATCAATAGCAGCTTAATTTTTTAAAAGCCCTGAAGGTCTGAGGTCATCTGGGTGTCACAGTTTGTACACTGTCCACTTCTTACTGGCCAGAGTTGCAGTGAATGGTATGGGTCGACCCCACAGACGGAGGCGGCTGATTCCTCCGTCCGGAGCGATGATAAGTCGGACGTGGGTGACAGGATGGCTCAGTTTCAGCTCCATCTTGCCGTAGTGATGAATGTGATGAGGGCGGAGCTGCAGAGAGGTAGGAGGCGGTGAGGAAGAGGACGAGAGGGTGAAAATGATTTAACAGGTGACAAAGGTTACCTTCTGAGGAGGGAGAAGGACCCTCCATTTCCCAGGATTCCACCTACTGCTGATACACTGAGCCTTCTCCTCAGGGGTCAAAGTGCATGCCTCGATCCTGCATGAGTCTGGGAAGTTTCCTGGAGAGGAAAGTGTCAGGCTGAAGAGCTAAGTTTGTTTTTAGAGGAAAGAAAAGCAGCACTGACGTGTCTCCACCTTTGAAGTGGTTGGTGTCGACCTCAACGCTGCTGATCAGTCCGGGATGACCGAGACGAAACACCGCCCACTCCCAGCCGGGAACCTGCAGGATCCCACGCTGGTCTGCCTGCAAGATTTGCAGCAGGGAAGCATTTAACCCACATCTATAAGGTAATAATATTTATGTTCACGGTTCGAGAAACAAGAAGTTAATAATATTATATCATTATAGTACAATGAATGTGACACTGAGGACAGCTTGAAAAGAAAAGTGGAAACCTTTCTAATGAAATGAAAAATTTTAGAGAGAGAGAGGACTCTCTGACAAGCAAGGAAACTGTTGGTAGTAAATGAAGTCAATCAGAAATTGATGCTTTTCACTGTGTAGACACTGCTGGAGGACATTTTGTCTTTTTTGCTATGTGAAGAGTTTTTATAAAGGTGTCAGGAGAGTGCACCACTTTTACTTCTGTGGGATTTAACCTTTATAAACGTGTAAAGGTTAGAAACTTTAAAGACTTTTCCTTATTTCCTCTCATGTTCCTCCAGTTCAGTGGTTTCACACAGTTTTTTCTGCTCTTGGATCTTTATGATGTCGGAGAAACATGCTGTCAAAAATCCTTTGGGCCAGCCAATCAGAATAAAGCTGGCTGTGAATCATGTACAGCTGCTTTAACGTATAGAGCCGGAGATGTGACATTAGTGTTGTCATTGTGCACACCTGCAGTTTTTTGGGTCGGTCCAGTCTGCGGGCCGTTTCCCATCCATCGGCCATGTTGGCAGCTCGACCAAGTCCTGCAAACACAGCACACCAGTTTGACCAGAGCTCCCAGCTCACTCACAACAGAGACATTCAACCCAATATTATCAATATATATATTATATTGAAATACAGATTATTGTACTATCTGATGTTAACCAATCATATTGCGTGGATGTCCAAAGTGGGCATCACTGTAGCCGAGGCAGACTCCTCCATTGGTCAGAGCCACTAGGTCAACATCCTGATTGGTGGAGACAGATGACCAGTCCCTCAGCCCAACACCGTACACCCGCAGTCTGGCTATGCCTCCATCTGAAACACAGTATATTGTAGATGCATATAAAGTTGCACAGAGCATGTGTGTGTGTGTGTGTGTGTGTGTGTGTGTGTGTGTGTGTGTGTGTGTGTGTGTGTACCTGGGTACATGTTGAGGCGCAGGTGTGTCACTCTCCTGCTGAAGCTGACTTTGAAGTAGTTATGGCAGCAGTCCGAGTATCCAGGCTGCAGCTGCGACACACTAACCAGCTCTGGCCACACCTCCGATCCCAGCTGTCAAACACAGTAAATGACATCATTCAGTGAACATCCAGGTCAGACATGCCCACATGGCACAGGTGTTCACCTAATCAGCAGCCATACCAGGGGTGATTTTAGCCCATTTTTGAATCAATGAATCAAAGCGCCCCCAAAGATTATTTACTGTTTGTGTGACACACTACTAAAAATATAAAAAGCATTCAGTACTTGTTTGAGACATAACATTTTAACAACAAAAGTATAGATAACACCCCCCAAATGGTTTGTTCCAGCTCTCCCCTCTAGCGCCCTTGCTGCCAGAGCGATGGTGGCTGAGACACAGTGGAGCGGAGGTGTAAGTGCCTGGCTTAAAACAGGACATATTAGCTGCATTTAACCTTCAGTTACTCTTTATATAGTTAGGTAGGAGTCAGACCATGTTTCTTTTTAGCTGAAAAACATTACACCAGGTAGCCTGCAGTGTTGGAAATGTGTTTTCCAACGATGTTTGCTACCCTACAATCCGTCCTGCTCTGTAGTAAAATCAGCGACATTTGACCGTCCTGTTGCTCCCATTGAAATTTATATAGCCTATTTAAAATCTAAAACTTAAAATTATCTGTAGTCTACTGTTGTTGCCACTGTCCTGTTTGAAATGGAGAAGTTGGTTATTTTGTGATATGTGCATGTGCCAAGATTAAACCCAGGAGCAACATTCAGGTAAAAGTGTAAGATCAAAAGATCCGTCAATCAAGAATAATGTTGGATCAGTGTTTCAATATTTATATCTTTTATTAGATGTTCATGTGGTTTGGTTATTTGCCTTTTGGTTGAAAGTACACTGAGAGAGGACTTTTTTTTAATTAGTGGTCTTAATAGTATTTGTTTTTTCATATTAATGTAATTTTTCACATCTAATTGAATACAATCTATTTGTGTATGATTGTCAGTCCAAAGAAAGAGAGAAGAAAGAGGGGAATGTGAGAAGAAAGTACAAGGTCAGGAAGAACCAGGTAAGAAAACAGACAGGGAACAGTGACAGGCAAAACAGAAACTGTTAAACTGCTTGAGAGAGTTGATGACAAAAAGTGATAGACAGATTTGCCAATCTCAAGGTGAGGCAACATAGGTTAAAATAAAACAAAAAATCTGCAGAGCCTGCAGTAAAGATCTTTTCATACATTGAATACATTGTACCATAGGCAAAGTTGCCTCCATTTTTATAATTTTATTTATCAATATTTTGTACATTTGTACATTTCAAGGACTCTATTTTTGGAGTGTATTTTTATATATCTGTATTGTATTATACATACACATTAAAAGTGAATCTCTGTCCAAAAAATGCACTCTGTTTACTTCTTACTCACTATGATCATCATTCATCCTTTTCCCCCAGTAATTAAGGTTAGGATATGTATTTTTTTTTATTTCAATCCATTCTTCGTTTGCAGCATTTAAATAACCTTTATCTGATTTGATGGTTTTGTTACTGACTTTTAAAATAGTGTTTTGCTTTTCTTTCTCAAAAATGGGGATTCAATTGTGTTAAAATGTACAAAACAATGATGTCATGTTTTGTGATGAGGACCCAGGCACAGAGAGACTTGGTGAATTTAAGAATCTTATTATTTAATAAAGAAATTTGCAGACTTACTCAGAGATGGTAAAATTATAATGACTGATAACGGAGACGAAGACAACAGACGATGAGGACAGGGAGGAACAGGGGTTTAAATGCACCAAGGAGACAGTCATAGAGAACTTGGGACAACTGGAGACATTTAAGGATGCAGGGACTGACAGACACGGGGAAGACGTCTCATCGTGACGAGTAAAGTCTATCTTGCCTGGCTGGGCAGCTCTCTAGGTGCTCAGCACCCCCAAAGCTCTGATCCTAGAATCGCCCCTGAGCCATACATATAGTCATGTGAAAAAGACATTCTACTCAGGTCTTTATGGTGTCCTGACGATGAATTAATGACTGATTGATGATTAGGAGCTCTCCGCTTTTCACATGGCTGCAGATAAACTGACCATAGCTGTCAATTCAGCACATCACTCTTGTTTTAAATATTTGTTTAGCTGGGGCTGACTACAGTGTCAGTGATCACATGAAGCGCCTTGAGGCGACTTTTGTTGTGATTTGGCGCTATATAAATAAAATTGAATTGAATTGAATTGAATCACATGAAGGTCACTGTTACCTTGGCAACAGCTGCCATCTGACTATCGGAGGCAGCCATGCCAGTTCGGTCTCCTTCCAGGGTGAAAGGAGGCTCCTGGTCTGGGAGAACAACAGGAAGTGTTTCATTGAAGCTATTTAGATATGGAAAAGTTTAAAGTACGTTATTAGGCAATGCGATGATGATGATGACGATGATGACATACCCAGACATCCGGCCTGGATGGAGATGTAGGGTGAGTGGTTTCCTGTGAAGAAGGACGTGTCGACATCAAAGCCATGGATCAAACCTGGGACTCCCAGCTGGATAATGCACCAGTCGTGACCTTCAACCAAGCAACAAGCAAACACAATGATGATTGGTTCACTTCTCAGTAAAAAAGGAAAAAAGGAAAAGAATGGATGGATGAAACAGACACAAATAACAGGGGGAAATGATTGAGGAAGATGAGACGGGAAATACAGAGGGAACAGTTAAACTCTAACACAATCACAGATCAAACTAAGAAAACTAAAATAAACAAAATGTTAAAAGTAAAAAAAACAAAAACAAAACCCAAGTGTAAGAAATGTTGGAGCTTAGGCTCAAAAAACCCAGAAGAGAGTAAAAGAAAGCACCGCGTCAGAAAACAGGTACGCTTGTGAAAATTCAGGGTACTAACCAGGTGTTCTCTTCCTCCTCGTCTCCCATCCGTCCATCCACTTTCCAAACTCGGTGAAGGCAGATGTGATGAACTGTGGCGGCTCTCTCTGTACACTCAAAAAATGAATGAGGTGGATTGTTCAGTGTATATTAATTATTTATTTTCATTTTACTTAAAATATATGTTTTTGTTAAGTTAAAATATGTTTTTCTAATCAAGTCTACGTAATTGTGTGTATTATTGTCTGTACAGAACACTAACGTGTTACTTGATGGCATAACATTTAAGTTAATTAGGATCGATATACTTCGTATATCCACAAGGTGGCAGTAATGCAAAAACAGTTGTAATAAAACCGCGAAGAACAACAAGGTTTCACGGCTTGGACCTGCTCATGCGCAAGACTTCAAATTTAACTTAAAAATGTTGTTTTTGGCAGCAAGCTGCTGTTTCTTTTTTGAGATGTAAGACCACGTTTTTCTTTGACTATGTTGTGTAGTATCTACATGTTGAGCGTGGTTATATTTTGCGTTTGTCTTACAAGAGATGTTATATAGTTTGTGCTACATTAGTTTTACTGGGTCCTGGATAAGTTAGATATGCCTGCTTTCATCCTGCCAAGCCTTGTTATTGTAACACGGAACCGTGAGACCACTGGGCAGGTGGTGTGTATAGGTTTACATAGTAACAGATGAAGTATCCCCTTCACAGAGCAAACCTGGGCTTATTAAGATGAAATATAATATTACAAGGGATGAAATTTAGTGTGCCTGTTTATCTAAGGCTATCGCAAACAACTATATTAACTGCTTACATGTTAACATGATTATTTTGTGGAATGTGTAAGAAACATTTTTGTTGTTTTTTTGTTTTATTAAGTGATTAGCTACAGGGGTTATTTTTTCATTTGCTTTCTTGGGATTCCTTTACTGTAATCCAAGAGTCACAAATATCGAATAGGATAGCAAGGCAAGGATAGCATGAGGTTGTGACATTTAAAATCCAAAAAGTCGAGGGTGAAAGCCACCGTGACACCATTGTTATGCTCTGTCAGTAATCTGTATTATGTATTATGGTCGGAGTTATACATGTCAACATAGTTATAAATTACATTTTGTTAAATCACACACTTCAGGTTTTTTTAAAATAAAATTATTCATGACATATGAGTGGACAGACAATGGAGGGCAACAGACCTGGTGTTTCTATAGAAAGTTAGCACATGGCAGTGTCACTCTCTTGCTTTTTTTCTGAGTAGTATTTTTTATGCAGTTGTATTTCAATCAATAATTTGCTTCTTGAAATTAAGTAATGAATTTCTTGTTTTACTTTCTAAATTTTAGATCCTGCCTTTACCTGCTCCCTCCTAACTGCTGAGCTTGTATGTGGTATGTGAACTGTTATACTTTTCAAAAGAAAACTCTTTTATAAGTTAAATTTTCTTTACTGACCCATCCCATGCCCCTGTTATTTCTTCTCCAGATCTGAACAAGTGTAAAGGTTGCGGTTCAAGGGCCTGAGGTATGAAATTCCTTTCAGATCAGCTGTGATCAATATTTTTTGGATCTTGATAAATAACAATAAAAGATGTAATGGCTCCATTAGCATTTTGTGTAAATGTTTGTGTGAAATTATAGCTTTGATGAGGCCTAACCCCCTCCCGATTCTGCCCCCTCTCCCCTCCTCTCCTCCATGGTCTCACTGAATTCTGTCACATACACACACACACACACACACTCTGACTCACTCACTGCCTGCACCAGTTACCAGTCACTTTGTGGAGCATTGGACTGCCATTACCTCATAAGACTTTGTTGTTATACTATCTCTTACCGTATATTACTAAATCTCCATTTGCACTATTTGCCTATTTGCACTACTCTGCCTGGTTTACACTCAATGTCATTTACCCTTACCTGAATATTGTATATTGTATATTGCATAGCTTTCTTGTTAAATTGTATTGTATTTATTTAAATTTTTACTTTTTAATTATTTTATTTGCATTTTTTAATTATTCTCTTATATTTAAATGTTCATTTGCTATTTCATCTAGGGTTTGAGAGTAACGAAATTTCTATTCTCTGTATGTCCTGTACATGTGGCAGAATTGACAAATAAAGTTGACTTTGACTTTGATTATTTTTAGTTATAAAGTATGTATATGTGTACATATAGTATGTATATTTACAGTACAGTATGTTGTGTTTGTTCACATGTTTTCAGGTGGAAGCAGAATTTGTGAGGATTACTACTGCTGCACTTGTTCCAAGGCTTTTTGTACAACTTGACCAAAACACTGACCAGTTCATAAAAGTCTTCAAGAAAAAAGGATGCACTGCAGTGAAGAAAATTAGACAAACTTTGGCCCCAGCCACACAGGTGCGTTATTCTGTTGGCAGCAATATTATGGCATTATAAGATCACTTTCAAATTTAAACAGCTAGTGTATGGTAGCTGCACAGTGTTCATTGTACTTACATTTATATTAAGCAAGACAAAGTTTTGTACTCAAAACTTTGGAAAATTAAAATTAGCTAATCATAAGTAAAGTTTATTTTCCTCAATTACAGGTTAAACCATAAGTGAATGGTTTTATGTTAAAAATAAATTTTTGAATGCAAAAAAATATGATTTTTTTTCTTTACCTTCGTTATGGCTCTAGTAAGAGACAATCAAAAAGATTAAGATTTAATTGAGAGATGACACTGCACCAGAAATGTTGAAGGGTGGTGTGTATATTAATGTTCAAGGCATATTGTGTTTGTGCTACATTGTGTGCATGTCACGGTTTGCCGGGGCAAGCCGTGTGGAATATGAAATAGGACCCAAAATGCGGCAGCTCTGGTGCAGATG